AATAATTAATATAATAAAATTAAAATTCAATAATAAACTTATTAGCTTCGGACTTACAATGGTTTCCATTTCCTAGTAAACATTAATAAATCAATTAAGTACTTTGACAAATTGAATAAAATTAAAAACCAATAAAATTTATATATATATTTTAAAAAATAAATAATTCTTATTGTTAGATTTTATCAGCATTATTAATAAACAATTTAATAATTAAATAGATATGCATATTAAGGAGATGCATTTTAATTTTGGGTTTAACCTCAAATAACAACAATAAGCTACAGTATATCCAAAAAAATCCGAGAAAACCACTGTGCTTATAACAGCCAATGATGACATTTAGTAACAAATTTCAAAAAACCTAGGAATTTTTTTTCAGGTTCACAAACTGTGATACACAAACAAAAATATTGGAGAAAAATTTTTTTTTGTTTCTAACGTTTTTTATGTTGTTTTCGATTCTTGGTCGCGTCTTTCTCTCCTTTACTCCCAAAATTAGGTTCTGAGCTTATTAGCATAATGTCTTTACTCTTTTCTATTTTAATCATCGTTCTTATTTCGGAATTTATACAGTGGTTTGGGTATTCTCAGATCGCGAGTCTAGTAAGGTTTTCTTTTTTTATTACATTCCATGCCCGTTGCATTCTGTACTTGGAATTAACAGATTCACACTTTTTTTAAAAAAATTTAGGCATGCAGTATTTACTTGAATACTTTTCAAAAGGAAAAACTATTAAGGCAGAGAAAAGTTAAAAGAGATATATTAAATATCAAACAAGATTTGTCAAGAACTAGTTCTCAGGTATTACTCATTATTTAAAATATTAAGTAGATGTGTTTTCTCGCGTGTACTTAAATATTTTGGTTTGACCAAAATACATTGTTGCGTGAATAAAATGAAATTTCTCACAAATATTTTAGATTCAGTCAAACTAAACTTATTTAAAACGATCAATTAGGATCAATTCGCCAAATGGGCTAAGCTGAGGCGAAAACTGGATGACAGGACTAAAGAATTGGAAAAAATGTGTAATGTCCTTTTATTTTAGCTTCCACGGTTTTTTATTTACGTATTGATTTTTCTAGTTTTTTTTTATAGCAACATCCTTGGGATATTTAAAAACAACTTTTGAAATCAAGTTTACTACATTTTTATGGGTTGCTATCAACGGTATACATATAATTATAGTTTTATGGTATCGTTCTTCACCGGTATTCTATCTTCCAAAAGACTGGTTTAATCCCGTTGCTCGGATTTTTTCTTTTCCGTTTGCACCATCAGGTTAGAAAAGATACATTTTTAGTGTAACACTGCAAGGTATTAATTTCGTGATAAAAACTATTACATCAAAGGATCTGTAAGCGTTCCCATGTGGTTTCTAATTTGTCGAAAAATGCCGAAAAAGATTGTAGCGACGTGTAAAGACATGGGTAGGTTCTTTATATCATTATTTACACGCACGAATTAATTATGAGGTGAATTAATGATTACTTGCAATTTTATAGTTTCCTTATATAATGCATATGCACCTGAAACAATAAAGAAAAATGTACCTATCTTAATTAGCTGGTGCAACACTAAATTCAGGGCACATTTTCCTGTTTTAATAGAATGGATTAGATCAAAAAAGCGACTAGTATTTGATGAACTGAAAAATTCACAATCCGAGAATTCGTCTTCATTGTCATCGACCCCTGTAATCACAACTCCAAAGACACCGATTAACGATTGCGGTGATGCTAGTGGATCCGGGACAACCGAAAAAGAATAGAACTGATTAGTAAATGTTATGTAGTATAGTCCTTGAAAATTAGAAGGTAGACTCTAGCTCTCTCGAATCAGGGAATGTCCAAAAGAATTTCACGTTCAATCTTGATGTCATTTGGACACATTCTAGTTAAAGATCCGTAATTGTGATATTTATAAGAATTATGCCACCATTATAACTTAGCTGCATAAGATATTAATGTGTATAAACCAACTTGTTGCATTTTCTCTGCTATGTTCTAGGAAAGAAAAGATAGAACGTCTGTATATTTTGTTCGTGCTAAAAATTGTTGTATAATATTTTTCGAATAACCGGACGACATGTAATTACGAATTTCTAATAAAAACCAACGATGTATCGTTTCAGAATCTGTAGATTGATCTGGATTTATTCGAATTAAATGTAAATTAAAAACAAGAAATACAGATAATAAGCTATCAGGAAACTATATGTACAAAATATTAGTATCAAAACTTCTTATTTAATAATTAATAAAAAAAGAAGAGACAGATAATTGAAATTAATTAAAATAAAATATAGTTTAATCTATATATTTAAATATATAGAGAGTTTTAATTAAAAAATTAAACAAATACTTTATTTTACTTAATTTAACTATTATATTATAATTTTTTTTTTAAAACTACAATTTTAATATTTATTAAATTAGTATATAAATTAACTTTATATAAGAAACAGTACTTAACAGATTATGGTATCAAATATCATATTAATATTATTCAACTATTTTTATCTGAAGTTGAACTAGTATTTTATAATCTGATTTGTAAAATATCAGGTTAATTTATATTGTATTTTTAAATATAAATATATATATCAATACTATATAATAAAACTTTTTGTGTGTAATGTTGACATTTAGAATACTCAATATAAATAATCAATTGTATCATTATTAATTATATATATATATATACAGTATATATATGATAATTTTTTTTTTTTTTTTTTTTGTAGGTAAACATCATTTTTTTATTTGATTTGTATATAGCAGGGTATACATCGTGAAAGAAACAACATCTCTCATATGTTGATACAATGAGTTAAA